GCAGAGAGGCGGGTGGGTGGGGGCAGCAGGCTCCCCGCTGAGCAGAGAGCCAGATGCAGGGCTTGATCTCAGGACCTTGGGATTGTGACCTGAGCTGAAGGCAGAGGCTTTAACCCGCTGAGCCACCCAAGCACCCCCATCCCACAAATTTTGATAAGTTGTATTTACATTTTTATTTAGTTTAGAACATATATATTTCTAAATTTCTACACCCAACATGGGGCTCAAACTCATAACCCTGAAATCAAGAGTCTCATACTCCACTGACTGAACCAGTCAGGCATCCCCTAGTTTTGAATATTTTTAAATTCCTCTTGAGATTTCTTCCTTGACCTATGTATTATTTAGAAAAATGTGTGTTTAACCTCCACATATTTTCCAGCTATCTTCTTGTCATTTTTTTTTTTTTAAGATTTTATTTACTTAGAAATAGAGAGCACGAGCAGGGGTGTAGGAGCAGAGGGAGAGGGATAAGCAGATTCCTTGCTGAGAGGGGAGCTTGACACGGAGTTCAATGCCAGGACCCTGAGGTTATGACCTGAGCCGAAGTCCGATGCTTAACCGACTCAGCCACCCAGGCACCCTGTCATTGATTTTGAGTTTAAGTCCATTCTTGTCTGAGAGCAAAGATTGTATGATTTCTGTTTTTTTTTTTTTAATTTGTTAAGGGTATTTTTGGTTAATTTTGCAAGGTACAGAATTCTAGGTTGGCTGGGCTTTTTTTTTTTTTTTTTCCTTCTCAACACTTCAGTTATTTTATTCTACCCTCTTCCTACTTGTGTGGTTTCTGATGTGATTCTTTACTTTGCTCCTCTATAGGTAAAGTGTATTTTTTTTTTCCTCTGACTTCTGAGATTTTTTTTAAACTTTCATTTTTTATAGTTTGAATATGATATGCCTAAGTGTAATGCTTTGGAATTTGTTGTGCTTGGTGTTCTCTGAGCATCCAAGACCTGCGGTTTGGTGTCTGACATTAATTTGGGGAAATGCTTGTCATTATTATTACAAATACTGCTTCTGTTCCTTTCTCTTCCGTCTCCATCAAATATCCCATTTGCATGGATATTTTACCTTTTGTAGTTGTCCCACAGTTCTTTGATATTCTCTTCTGATTATATCCTCAAACTCAGAGATTCTTTCTTCAGTTTTTCCCAGTCTACTAATGAGCACATCAAAGGCATTCATAATTTCTGTTATGTTTTTGACTTAGAGCATTTTTTTCACTTCTTAAATTTTCCATCTCTCTTCCATTGTTCATCTGTTCTTGCATGTTGTCTACCTTTTCCATTAATGTCCTTAGCATATTAATCACAGTTTGTAAAAATTCCTGATCTGATAATTCCTGATGTATCTGACTATGGTTCTGATACTCACTCAGTGTCTTCAGACCGTGTTTTTTGCCTTTTAGTATGTCCCATAATTTTTTCTTCAAAGGCAGACATTACGTAGTAGATAAAAGGAATTGTGGTACATAAGTGTATAGTGACGGGAAAGTAAGGTGTGGGGAGGAAGTGTTTTATAGAACAATGATTCGGTCTCAGTCTCTTGGTGAGCCTGTATCACAGGAGGATGAACTTCACCAATGTTTTTCTGTTCATCCCCTCCCACCCCCACCACTTAAGTGGTGCTGGATGGCTAGAAGTGGGCTGAAGGGTACTTCTAACCTAACCCTTCCAGCATAACCTTAGTTAGGTTGGAATCTGGTAAAATAGTTTCTCCTGAAGCTAGGCCTTGTTAAGAACAGAGTGCTCTGGCATATTTCAAAATGATTGGTTTTCCCTCCCCCTTCCAGAAGCAGGAGGGAATTTTTCTCCTATATTCACCCCTTAGACCTCCTAGAGGTAAAACTTAGAAAATTATGACTTGGTCCCTCTGGAGTTTTTAACTTAACTCTCGCACCCTGAGCCTCCAGCGTTTTACCAATTTCAGTTTAGTTTTCCTTTTCTGGTACCAGTTCCCATGCATGTATCTGCTGGTGGGTTTCTGCTCTGAGAAGTTAGGATTCTCTGTATCTACCTTTTTCTCCAGTTTGGGGGACAGCAGTTTGCCCTGCAACCTCAGTTCTCTGACAGATCTAAGAAGAGTTGTTGATCTTTCCATTGTTTAGCTTTTTACTGTTGTCTGGATGGAATGGTCACTTCCTGAGCTGCTTATGTGCCAGACCAGAAACCAGAATTTGGAAATATTGTTATTTTTTCAAAAGATTTTGTTTGTTTATGGGAGAGAGAAGGAGAGAATGTGAGCATGAGCAGGGGAAGGAGCAGCGTGGGAGGGACAAGCAGATTCATTGCTGAACACAGAGCCAGACACGGGGCTCCATCCCATGACCTTGAGATCATGACTCAAGCCAAAATCAAGAACTGGACGCTCAACCGACTGAGCTGCTGAGGCACCCCTATTTTTATTTTTATCTGGCAGCTTCAAATATGGGAAAATGAATAAATAGTGGTGGAAGGAAAAGGGGATCATCTACAATCTTGCTAAGAGAGGCAACTGGTGTTATTTTGACATTTGGCTTTTTGTCAGTGTATTTTCTTTTCTTTACACAAGTAAGATGATAGAATTTGGCTATCGTCATAAGATCCTCAAATCCAAACTGAACTACATGTCTTCTTCCCAAGACAGTTCTCTTGTGTTATCTGGATCATCTCAGCACCCACTCCCACTCACCAGAACAGCGCCCAGGAGCTGTCTTTCTCTTCCTTCGCATCCACTCAGACTTTAAATCATGACAGTTACATTTTCTAAGTATTTTTGGACGTCTCTTTCTCTTTCTTCTCTTGCCACTTCTCTGGGTCAAAGTCCTCATTGATTTCTCTCTGAACTCCTGCAAGAACAGAACCTGTCTCCAGCATTATCCCCTCAATTCTGTGCCGATGTCACTTAGATGATCCATTTAAGATGCATCTCTGGCCGTGTGACTTCCCTGCTTAAAGCCTTTAAACCCCTTCAGTGGCTCCTCGTTGCCTTTCAGATAAATCCAAGCTCTGAAGCGTGGCCCACGTATCTCTCTGTGGCCACAACCTCTGCCTGCCAGATTTAGCTCCTGATACTGCCTGTCTCTGCTTATGTTCGAGGATCACTGAATTCCTCGCAGTTCCAGCCGCAGCCCTTCCTCCCCACCACTGGGGATAGTTGTCTTTCCGCCGTGCAGGCTCCCGCTCCGAGCGCCTGTTGTCTCACTCCCCTCACCTCGTCGGGGCCTCTGCATTTATTCGGGCAGCTCAGTTCCTCCCCCAGACCTCACTCTAACTGCTCCACACCGCTCTTCCCTAAGCTAGGTTTCTGGGCGCAGGTCTCCGCCATTGCATCTCCTCCCCTTCATGTACTCATTCCACCAGCTAACCAGCAACACTTGTGTGAGGGCAGATGATTTTTAAAAGGTCCTTCCCTAGTGGAGCTTACATTCTAAGGGAGGGAGATACGTGATAATAAGTAAAAATAGATGTTCGTAGGTGATAACGCTGTGAGGGTAAATACAGTAAGAGGGATGGAATGTTCAGAGGCTGGAGAAGAGGCTGCTATTTAAAGGACACGGTCAGGGAAGCCCTCAGTAATGCTGTGGCCTTAGAGCAGAGACCTGCTGGAAGGGAGAGTGAGCCATGCACACGTGCCGAGACACCACAGTAAGCATGTCCAGACTGTTCCGTGATCGGTAAGGAAGGCAGTGTGCGTAGGGCAGAGTGGGTGAGGGGAGAAGGCGGCCTAAAGACTTAGTGCCAGCCAGGTCATGAGGGGAGTGTAGGCCATTAGAAGAACTTCGGCTTTCTCATTTACTCTGAGACCAAGGCCAAGGAGGCGTCTGTGCAAAGAAGGGACAGGCTCTGGCTATGTGCTAAAAAGATCCCTCTGACTACCGGGCTAAGGTAGGGTGGCGTAGGGGTGGTGCTAGAATGGGGCAGGGGTGTGGAGACCAGTTAGAGGAGCTTGCTGCAGTAGGCCACATACATGGTGACGGAGGCTTAGACTGACCAGAGCAGAGCCAGTGGAGGCAGCAGGAAGTGATTGGGCTTTTGGATATATTTTGAAGGTAGAGCCCCCAGGATTTATAAAGGATTGGATAAGGAGTATAAGAAAAAAATAGGACTTAAGGATGACTTCCGGGTTTTGGTCTGAACAAAATTGCTGTGGAGTAGGAAGATGGCAGGAGAGTTTGGGATATAGGTTTAAGCCACCCATCAGTCTTCCGATCGGAGATGCTGAGCAGGGAGCTGGAGGTGTGCATCTGGACTGCAGAGGAGAGGTCCAGGCTCGAGGTGTCAGACTGCAAACTGTCAACATTCGTTGATATTTCAAGGGTGTGGAATCAGATGAGACAGAAGACGAAAGGGGAGATGACTGAGTCCTGGAGCATTCCAAACTGTGGAGGCCACCGTGATGCAGAGGGCCCAGCCAAGGATGCTGGGAAGGCATGGCTAGGGAGGACACGGGAGAACCAGAGAGAGCAGGAGCTAGGAAACATGCGTTTGAAGTGGGAGGGAGTGAGACCGGTGTGCAGGGTTGCAGATAGGTCACGTGGAGATGAGGACATTGTGCTGTAGATCTGTTTATATAGTTGCCTCCTTCCGCTGGCTGAGAATTCACTGGAAGCAGGAACGCCTCCAGCAGTGTATTACCTACCGCTCGGAGGTGGGTGATACACACAAGTCATTTAACTCATTTAACGGCTGCTTTGCCTCAGGCCGGTTGTCTCAGTATCTCTAAGCTCTAGTCGCATCTGTGAAATGGGGGAGGGATGGTATCTCTTCCACGGAGTCACCGTGAGGCTCCAGTGAGAATGTCCAGGTGAAGCACGAAGCATGAGCCCCTTGATGGCATTAAGCCCATGACCGCTGTCATCAGCGTCACTGACATAGTGTGCCTAGCGTGGCGCCCCTCCTGGGGAGCAGCAGGGGGGAGTGCGTGAGTGCATTGCCTGTGTGTTTGTGCGACTCTTTCATTCAGGGTCTCTGCCTGTGTGTTTGTGACGTACTAACATGGCACTTCGGGGGTTTCTCTAGGAGACCGTACTGATCCTCACGGAGTGGGTCCGGAAGAAGTCCTGGGGCAGAGCGCAGGCCATGGAGCTCCCCAGCTACGGCCAGCAGCTGCTGCAGCAGCTCTACACTCTGTGCAAGGAGCAGCAGTTCTGTGACTGCACCATTTCCATCGGCACCATTTACTTCCGGGCCCACAAGCTGGTCCTGGCCGCCGCCAGCCTCCTGTTCAAGACGCTGCTGGACAACACAGACACCATCTCCATCGATGCGTCTGTGGTGAGCCCCGAGGAGTTTGCCCTCTTGTTAGAAATGATGTACACTGGCAGACTACCCGTGGGCAAGCACAACTTCTCCAAAATCATCTCTCTGGCCGACAGCCTCCAGATGTTCGATGTGGCCGTTAGCTGTAAAAATCTTCTGACCAGCCTTGTGAACTGCTCTGTTCAGGGTCAGGTGGTGAGGGACAGCTCCGTACCATCCTCGGAGGCATTCAGGAAAGAACCGGAGAAGCCTGACATAGAAGTCCTTGCCTCTGAGGGCACTGCAGACCCTCGCCCTTCCCTGGAGGCTTCTGCCCCTCTAGGGGGCCGTGTGAAAGCCGAGGCCGAGGACGCAGTCGATATGGTTGCCGGAGAGATGAGTGTGGGGCCTTCCATTGCCCAGGGGATGCAGGGGAACACAGACACCCCGGGGCAGACTCCTCGTCTATCTGAAGTTTGTTGCCCCTCCCCTGCTGTACAAGCCTTTAGAGAGGCAAAGGAGGCCGGCACAGAGCCAGGTAACCTTCATTTAATAGTTCTTTTGTAATCTGTCCTCCCATTGTCAGTTACTACATCCAGTGTTCTTTATGAATTTTTTTGTTTCAGTGATAAATTTATCAGAAACCACTGCTAGATAGGAAACCAGAATCCAGTCCAATCCCACACAGAATCTGAAACAAAACTGCTACTGAGGATGGTTCTTTTTTTTTTTTTTATGATTTTATTTTTTTAAAGTCATCTCTATACCCAACATGGAGCTTGAACCCATAACCCTGAGATCAAGCGTTGTATGCTCCCCCAGCTGAGCCCGCCAAGCACCCCGAGGGGGCATTCTTCTTCTTTTAAAATGTCTGTGTTTTTGAGTGATGGAAGTCAGAGGATAAGCTGCAGAGCAGAAGGCAATACTGAAATAATGATGTACCAGGGGTGTTTTTGTTTTGAGAGAGAGAGAAAGAAAAAGAGGAAGTGGGGAGGGGCAGAGGGAGAGAGAGAATCCCAAGAAGTCTTCATGCCCAGTGCAGAGCCCGACTCAGAGATCGCAGCCTGCGCCAAAATCAAGTCAGACGCTTAACCAACGGAGTCACTTGAGCGCCCCTGATGGGCCAGTTTTGATGCTGACCCATTATTCTAACCAGGAAGAGGACGGCACAGAGGAGGCAGCTTGTTAGGGCCATTGTTTTCTGTTATCCACAACTGATGTGCTAGGTGTCAGTTATAAATGCTGCATATAACCCAAAGATTGTCAGCTTAAACTTTAAAAAAAATCATCTCAAGTAATGACTCACTGATTTTTGTGTGTGTGTGTGTGTTTTGTTTTGTACTCAGAGTATGAGAGGAAACAGCATCAGCTGAATTTTCTTCTAGAGAATGAAAGTGTCTTCTCTGATGCACTCTTGGTTACCCAGGATGTTTTAAAAAGACTAGAAGAATGTTCAGAAATTAAAGGTGCACAAGAGGAGGTAAGTACCATGAGTTTTATTTGTTTGCTGATATAGTGTTCTCTGGATACCAGATCAGTTTCCCATATGGGGCAGAACTGTGAAAATACAAAACACTTCAGGGTCTCAGTTTTTTCAAACTTTAATTTTTTTAAAAAGAATTACTTGGGGGCGCCTGGGTGGCTCAGTGGGTTAGGCCTCTGCCTTCAGCTCAGGTCATGATCTCAGGGTCCTGGGATCGAGCCCCGCTTTGGGCTCTCTGCTCAGCAGTGAGCCTGCTTCCTCCTCTCTCTGCCTGCCTCTTTGCCTACTTGTGATCTCTCTCTGTCAAATAAATAAATAAAATCTTAAAAAAAAAAAAAAAAGAATTACTTGTCAGAGAGAGAGAGATAGAGAGCAAGGGGAGTGTCAGGCAGAGGGAGAAGCAGTCTCCCCTCTGAGCAAGGAGCCTGATAAGGGGACTCTATCCCAGGACCCTGGGATCATGACCTGAGCTGAAGGCAGATGCTTGACCAACTGAGCCACCCAGGTGTCCCTCAAACTTTATTATTTTTTTTTTTTAACATTTGTTCTCTAAAGGGCCGTCTTAGAAAAGTACTAGGCAAGATGGTTTCAAAACTAAGTTATATTCTTTTCACCAGACTTACAACCAGTTTTGATCCAGGATACTTAACTAATCAAACCATTTCCACCTGAGTAATCGGGGATAAAATGAGGCAGAAAGTAGTCATGGACAACCCCAAATCCAGACTAAATGATAAAAACCAAAGTAGAACAGTAAGAAATACTTAAGGGGTGCCTGGGTGGCTCAGTGGGTTAAGCCTCTGCCTTCGGCTCAGGTCATGATCTCAGGGTCTTGGGATTGAGCCCCGCATCAGGCTCTCTGCTTAGCAGGGAGCCTGCTTCCCCCTCTCTCTCTGCCTGCCTCTCTGCCTACTTGTGATCTCTCTCTCTCTCTCTCTGTCAAATAAATAAATAAATCTTTAAAAAAAAAAAAAAAAGAAATACTTAAAACCTGGTATGAAAAGGACCTAATGTGCATACCTTATGTAGTAAATTGCATCCAATGTTTAGGAATACAGTGGCCATTTTCCACCGTGAAACCACTAATAGTGAAATTTATTGAATACTTACCATGCTGTGCTTGGCACACATGTTATCACATTTAATTCTTACAAAAATCCCCCAGGATGGATACTGTTTTATTGATTTTTAGCCCCCGTTTTACAGATGAGAAGAGCAGTCTCATGTATATAACCTGACCAAGGCCACAGAGCTCGTAGGACTGAGAAAGAATTTAAACGCAAGCATTCTAGCTTTAGAGTGGTGCCCTTGCACACTGGGTTTTACTGCCAGTAGGGGAAAATGCTACACATATGTCACGTATGTTTAAGTGTTTAGGAATGGCCTGACAGAAGACTGCCCAGTGGTTATCATGCTCTTAACTGACCTTTTCCTTCTTTCAATATCTCATCAAGACGCATCCCCACTGGGGGCTTCCTCACTACCTGACTTCTCATCCCTTGAATGTACAGGATTGCCTCCGCAGCCACTTTAGAACTCCTCTAGCTTCGCCTTTCCCGCAGCCATGCCTCCCATGCTGAGCGGTGCTGGCAGAACCAGTGGGCACCGTCCCCCCAGGCTTGCTCATCTGTGTGGTGGGGAGTGTGTGGGGGAGGCCTCCCGTGTCACTGTAGGCAATTGAGTGTCTGTTAGTTACCTTCATCCAAGCAGTAACTGCTTTCTACTGTACAAGTATTTCCCAGATTCATAGCAAGTTACTTAAAAAAAAACAAAACCAACAATTCAAGGTCAAGTATTTCTTTTAACCTTGGTTAATTGACAGTTGACTGTAAATTACTTTCTTGAGAGAACAGCATTTTATGACACTGGGTTAACCCCAACGACTCTGTTAGGGAGGTGACAGGTTGCAAAACCTTGATATTCTTTGTACTGATTATGCTGAAGGACATTATGGTTTTATATTTTTGCATGTGGATGTTCTCTTAACTGTTCAATCTATCACTTTTGTCACAAGTTTGTTGGCGTGATAGCTTAGAGACACACCTCTTCATTTTCCCTTGCAGGACTTCCTCTCCACTTAATTTTGGTGATGGGGAGTAGTAGCATTCCTAGATCAGCAATACTCAAATTATTAGGGTTGCCTGCGTACTTACTTGAGCTGTGTTTTATGCATTTTTTCCTAACACTGGTACCTAAAAGTGGCACATAATGGGTGCTTGAGAAATTTTTGCTGTACATGGTTTCATCCAACATTTTTTTCCCTCCCAATTCTTGTCCTAATCTTTTGGTGACAATAACAGTAGTAGTGCTTAGAACACTGATTCACTGTTGGGGATCATTATAGGCTTATGTTATTTCTTCCACGGTTTTAGAGGTCAGAGTAAGAGCCCTACAAATCACTTAGTGGCTGTATTTAAAACTGATTCTGTTACATTCCATAGTACCTTTCAGCTGCAGAAAGAAAAAGAGAAAAAAATACTTGAAGAGCATACGATTCCATTAAATAAAATACAGACTTTGTACTTGGGCCCAGTACTTCTCTTTCTCCTTTAACTTTCTTATAGACAGGTTTATTAAAGTATGGTTGACATGCAGCAAGCTGTATGTATTTAAATCTTACAGTTTGATAAGTTTTAAAACCCGAAGCCATCAACACAAGCAAGATACTGAACATACCCATCACCCCTAAGTTTCCTTATGCCCTTACTAATCCCTCCCACCTGCCCCTTTCAACCCACCCATCTCTAGGTGACCCTGACCTGCTCGTTCTCTATAGATGAATGTGCATTTTCTAGAGTATTATGTATAAAGAGAGTCATGTAGTCTATATTCTTTCTCATCTGGCTTCTTGCCATCAGCATAATTCTCCTGAGGCTTATCCATGCTTATTTACTCCTTTTTAGGCCTGAGCAGAGTTCCATTGTGTGGATATACAGTTAGCTGTTCAGCTCTACCATTTGCTAGTGTTGTGACCTCCAAAACTTAATCTGTGTAAGCCTTAATTTCCAAATTTGTAAACTGGGAATGTTGTCACCTACATCACAGGATCATTGTGAAACTAACACAGATTACTGATGGAAAACTCACACTAAAATACCAGACATAGAGAAAAAGAGCTCAATTGGTGGCACCTGCTGTTTGTTTATGCGTTAACTTAGTATTTTTAGACTTAGTTGACCTTGAAACCCCTTTTTACTTAACGTCTTATAATATCTTAGTGCCACAGTCATTTGCTCTGACACATGATTTGGATTGCTGTTTCTTTAAGCCTAATTTGCAAGTCATGCTTTCAAATAGGGACCATTATCCACTTGGAAATACCTTACTGAACTGCAGGTGTAGTGTCTGGTTCACAGCCATCAGTCTCTAGAACAGTGGTTCAGTGTATATGAAAATATCCAGTGCACTCGTGAACGTGTACACCTCCAGACCTCATTTCCAGAGAGTCTGATAGTCATAGAGCTTGGGCATCTACATCTTTAACAAGCTGCCGTGTTGCTGTTTTGATATCAGTAAGACACGTTTCTGAGAAGCGCTGCTAGAGAAGTTAATGGCTTGCACAGTTCTTAGTGTATGATGGCAGATGTCACAGTGTCTATGCTGGCACCTCTCTGTTTTGAGGGGCCACCGTGTACACATTTTTCCCAAGTGTTATTCTTTACTTACGCCTTGATTCAGCAAGTATTTACTGAGCAGCTGGTGTGTGCCAGGCATTGAGCTGGTTGCTAGGAAGTCACATATAAATAAAACTGGATCCCTATCCCTATAGAGTGTCTTGACAGCAGAGAAATCCTGCCACATATGTAATTATTTTTTTGGAGTCACCAAACTATGGAAATCCCCAAAAGGCCTCAATACTGAAAGCATTTGCAAACTGCTCACTTGAAACACCAGTCTGCATTTCAGCTCCAATTGTAAAGGCTGGGGGGGTTGTTTGTTGTTTTTCTGTTTAAAGAGTTTTAGCTCCTAAGGAGCTTTGAAACGCTTTTTGTTGTTGTTATTTGGTTAATCGGCATAACATTAAAAAGACAGCTTAACATTAAAAATAATCTGTGCTTAGATGTGAAATCTGGAGGCTTGTGAAGGCCTGTGCGTTTTCTAGTTGACACGGACTAGCCTGTTTCTTTTCTGAAACACAGACACAAGGTGTGCACCTGGCCTGGACTGAGTTTCAGGAGGACACCGTGAACTAGTGTCCTGCTTATTTTGTTTCCTGAGATAAATGATGAAAGGTGGCAAAGCCATTCCCTAAGCAGTGATTGCAACAACACAGGATGAGGCTGGGCCACTTGGATTGTGTGAAACCAAAGCCAAAACTGATTAAGGAGAAATCTCTTGGGTGCTGGGATGGGAAAGCGGCTTCTGCCCGTCTTTATCTCGGTGTAATGTCCCTGCCCATTAGAGAAAGCAGATACTGACCTAACAGGCTTTCTGGCTGAGCTGAGCAAAACCTATGTTTAAAGGCAAGCTTATAATTTCTTTTAGCTTTTATGCAGGAACTTTTAATTGTCTTCTTTCTTTATTCCTAGCCATGTCCCTGCTTTTAATTAAGTGTGTATATAGCAAAGCGAATCTTTGACTAGAATTAGGAGATAACTTCTACTATTGATTTCCTTGCTGTTTGATCCAGTTTTCACCTGAAGTTCCAGAAAGACTCCCAAAGCTTAAGACCTAGGAGTTTTTTTTTTTCTCTTTCAACTTTGTTTCAAAGGCAAACAAGCCTCCTCTCCTGTATGAATCTGATGTTTCCAACCACGTCACTGCTTTGGAGAGTTGTCACAAAGTGCAGGTCTGTGTTTTGTGGACTGTGTTCACTGACAGGCTAGGGTAACCCTGTTGAGAAGTGAGCTAATAGGGTTCATTTTGTAGGTCTATGAGAAATGGAAGTAAGTTGTTGTTTTTCCATATCTTCTCTCTGCTAATTATGTCATCTAACATATGCAGCCATCGATAGAAAGGCTATTGGTTTTATGGCAAGAGAATTTTGTTCAGTTAAATATTTATGGAGCACCTACCAGTGTACCTGTCTATGTACAAATTCCCCAGGACCAGGAGGAATGGTGTCGATTGTCCAGATAGGACCCAGTGTTCGACGTGACGTTGACCATAGCATAGGACCCAGTGTTCGACGTGACGTTGACCGTAGCAGGTCCAGGAGAGTGCAGTGTAAGTGGATTCGGTTACACTCAAAATCTGAGGTGGCAACTAGTGAAAGGGGTGCTAAGTCAGTGGAGTAAGCTCGGGGTTTCCTCCCAGGTACGCTGCTTACTGGCCACGAGAGCTCAGGCGAGTTCTCTCACCTCTCTGACTCTCATTTAAGTAGTCATTGTAATGGGCACCTGGGTGGCTCAGTTGGTTGGGCATCTGCCTTCAGCTCAAGTCATGATCCAGGCTCCCAGCATGGCGTCCCGCATCGGGTGCCCTGCTCAATGGTGAGTCTGCTTCTCCCTCTGATCATGCCCCTTCTCATGCTCCCTCTGTCTCTCATATTCTTTCTCAAATGCATAAATAAAATCTTAAAAAAAAAAAAAGAATAAAAGTAGTCCTGGTAATAATGCCTCCTAGGACCGACGGGAGGAGTTACATAGATGGCACGTACACACAGTGTCTGGGATGGCATTTGGCTCTTCCGGTCTGTGTCATGAGTGCCATTGTCTGGCCCTTGGCATTCAGGGAAGGTGTGAGCAAATAAGAACACAGCATAACTCAAACAAATCCAAAGGCAGTAGGCAGACAGTTGGGAAAATAAGTAAATTCAAAGACCTTAGTATAAGGCAAAGATTAAATTTTTAAAGGAGAGGAAATTGTCCCATCTTTAAGTATATTGACCTATAGTTCATTCATAAATCAAAGTATGTTGATCACACGTGTGACCATAATTTGGTATGAATTTATTGAAGTACCTTTAACTCTAAGAATCAAAGGAATTCCAAATGTTTGCTTAAGGAGCCGAACTCTGTTTTGGGCTGACGTCTTATGTAGCAGTCAGTGACCCTCAGCCTGCCACAATATGGGACGCCCTCTGTTTAGGCAGATGGGCTATTTCAGAAAAGGGCTCACTGCACGGAGGAGCCCCAGGCAGCTTAGGGGGCTGATGGAATAACAGTTAAAACACTGGCTCTGGTGCCAGGTCCCCGGTAGGTTCTGGAAGAAAGAGCAAAGAGCAGGGCTGTCCAGGCAGCTGACTGCTCCCTCCGGGCCCTTTCATCAGCCCACCCCTGCTCCTCTTCCCAGATGGTCACACCCTGGCGTCACCGCTGAGCAATGAAGTTAACAAATGTTTTAATTTCACTGCTGAGCAGTTGAGCAGAGGAGGAGACAGCAGAGAGGATAATGAGAAGCGTGTCAGGCGGCTCTGTTGATGTAAGCGTCCCTTCCCCACCGGCTCAGATGATACTGCCAGACAGATTGGGTCCTGAGAGACGTGGATTCGCGATACTCAGAGCTTCAGGAGAAAGCACACTGGCGTAGGGCAGATGAAGATGGCGAAGGTGGCTAAATGCTATTATCAGTTAAGATGCATCGAAGAAAAGGAGGAAGGAAAGGAGAAACGAAGAGAGAAAAACCTGTTTACTGACGGCATTAGCATTGAGGGGGTCTATATTAGGTATCTCTTGCCGCATGACAATTACTCTTAACATTTAGCAGTTTAAAAGCACACAGTTTTTACCATCTCTGTGGGTCAGGAACCTAGGCGTCCTTCGCTGAGTCCCTGGCTCAGGGTCCCTGGCAGGTCTGTAGTCAGGGTATATTGGCCAAGGCCACACGTGGTGGGGCAGGGCGGGGGATGGCCCCTTCCCAGTGCACACGTGTGGCTGTTGGCAGGGTTCCGGATTCACTTCCAAGCTCGCTCACTGAGTGTTGGCTGAAGACATCCGTTCCCTGCCACGTGGGCCTCTCTGTAGGGCAGCTCACAGCATGGCAGCCTGCTTCCAGAGTGAAGGCAGAGAATGCCCCCGCAGACAAGAGGGAAGTCGTGGTGACGGAGCCTCCCAAGTGCCCCCCATGACTCTTGCCATGTTCTTTCCCTGGGAAGCACGACATCAGGTGCAGCCCAAGGGCGTGAATGCCTGGTGGCAGGGTTGTTGCAGAGCATTTAGAGGCTGCCTACCACAGGTCCCTGCTGCTGTCAGGGCAAAGGCACTCCTTAACGAGATTTTAGGCCGACTAGCAAGAGCGTGGAAGGTTCAATAAAGGCGACTGAAAGCCATTCAACTGAGCATTCAACAGAGTTGGTATTTCATTGGTTTATTATTTTCCAAACTGGAGACAAGATGAGTTACTCAGGTTCATGGAAGTTACTTAATACAGATTCCTAAACTGGCCTTTATCTGAATTTATTTTTGTACATGACTAAAAATCCTAGGAAGCTTTTTTTTTTTTAAGTTTACCTTGGCTTTATATGTCATGTCCATTCTGCGATCAGGAAGCACGCTCGAGCAAAGCCAAGAAACACAGTCTAACTTGTTCCTAATTCCTGTTGATTTGGGAGGAGGAGAAAAAGATAAAAATCTCTCTGAACAAAAATTTTAAACCTGTAATTACTACCAGAATTTATAAGAACTGCCTAGCTGAACTTTGCAAGCATAGATATTCATGAGATACTTTCATGTTTTGTGTGTGTGTGTGTATGTGCAGAAAACCGTAACTTTTTGCTTTCTTGTGAGGAAACTCTTCTTTTACAGTATTGACACTAAAAAACATCAAAGGTAGGTTGTAGTTTTGCCAAGTAGAAATATAAAGGCTGTGCACATGAAATTAACTTTTGGTTCTAGATTTTTTCTAAAAATAAATTCATTATTGCTAAAACAGAAATTTTGACCCTTCCTTCCAATAGGCCTTCTTCCCACTAATTTTATTTATTTCACCACTGGAGTGGCTGGTATTTTAGTACTTCCAGGTTGAAGGAGTCCAGATGGCGGCATGTGGTGCCAAGACCTCTGGAGGATAAGGCATTTCTAGTAGAAACTGTGTGGCTCTAGATTGAAATAGAAAGCTGAAGATTAGGGAGGTAGTTTTCAGGGTTATTGGCCTAGAGGTGATATGAAAGCTGCATATGTAAGGGCTTTTCCAAAGGGAGAGCATACAGGAGAACAAAGTTGGGACCAGTTTTTGGGACTGCTTATGGGTAGGGATTTGGAAGGAGAATCCGTGAGAAAGGCCGAGCAGAGGGGGGTCAGAAAGGCGGGTGCTTATCCATCTCGAATGCTTCAGTGTTCTGAAGTCAGAGGAGCCGTGATACGGAAGCCGTCAGGATGCCAAATACCAGGAAAGGCCAAAGAGGGCCTCACTCGCCAGATCCGAGGAGCACGGGGTTCTTGTAGCTGGCTGATCTCTCTTTCCGGTTACTTGTGTCCCCAGACTATAATGGGATGTCTTGAGGGTGAAGAAGGACACTCAGCGTTCCAGAGAATCCTGGATAAAGTCAGAGACGAGAGCCTGGACGTTCAGACTGTTGTGTCACTGTTGAGGCTGTACCAAGATTCCAATCCCGCAGTAAAGAGAGCGCTGTTAGACAGAAAGGCGAAAGGTGTGGATGCCGTGCGGCCAGAAGGTAGGAGAAAACCCCGTCCACCTGAGTGGCTTGAGTTTTATTCTGGAAAGATGCTGTCAGGTTTGCTCCAGTGATACATTTCCTCAGCGGCTTAGTTATCGTTCAGTGATTTTCACATCAGTTCTACACATAATTCCAGAAGCTGGTGGTGACAAGTACACAGCCTGAATTTGAGTCTCCATTTCAGTCCCCTAGTTAACTAGTCTGACACCTTGAAGTTGGAGAAGACCCTCAGTGTTCTCCTGCCCGTCACAAGCCACACATCCCAGTCAGTGTTTTGAGTGCCCAGGGTAGACTGGTTTGCCGGCAGCACCGACGGCTGCAGTTTCTCTCGTGTGGGTTAGGTACAAAGCAGTGGCCTTGCCAAGCAGAAGTTAACCTCTGGCTGGCTCTGCGGCTTTGTGTTTCGACAGATAAATGAAACAGGTTTTCCTTTCATAGAGTTTAAACAGAATAATAAAGTATTTTCCTCTCCAAAAAGAGATTCTGCATTCGGGTGCTCAAAATAGGCTGAAAATCACTTAACTATTCTGTTAGATCTCTCTTGACAGACCATGCTGTCATTTTCTTCAAATTGACTAGCTTCTCCTATGCGTCTCTCCCCCCCCACCCCCCGCCCCAGGGAGCACAGAGGAGGGAACGACTTTGTCTGCTCTGTTACTAGAACACAAAGAGGACCTGATCCAGGGTGTCACACAGCTGAGACCTATCCTGGAGTTCCTGGAAACAGCCACGGAGGAATTCCTGCCTGACACTGAGAAAAGGGTAACTGGGATCGAGCACCTCTTCCTCCCTCCTGAGTTTATGTAGCCCTTTTTTTAACCTCTTTGTGGCACATAGCACTTTTTCCCTTGCAGTGTTTTTGTACCTACTGCATGGCAAGCACCCAGAAATTCACATTCTTGAACATGTCTCTTTGTGCCCCGGGCAGCAGCTGGCCGAGGGACTCACACACTGCCCTGCGATGAAATGTTTGGATACGTGGATGGGTATCCAATCCACGTATCCACGTATTTGGGTACGTGGATAGTCCTGCTCCCACCTGGTAGGCTGCTAATAGGAAACTGTTGCCCCAAGAGTGAAAACATTTAGACACCGTTGTAATTATAATTTTGACTCTTTTCTTCTTTATAGAAATGATACACTGTTCACCTGTAGGAAAAATGGGGGAAGTGAGCAAAAAGAAAAACAATTAAAATCCCTCACCATCTCACCACTCAGAGATGATCACAGCTAACATTTTGGAGCACATGCTCCCACTTGTTCTCATTTGAGTCATCCTGGGATAGGCTTATACAGAGACCTTTGGGTTTGTTATTTAATGCATTGTGGATACATTTCCATACTATGATATGGATTTTGGTGGCTGCATTGTATTTTATGTAATGAACACACCATAATTCGTTGATTGTTGTTGCACATGTGTTTCCAATTTTTTGCCATGGTAAATGATGTAGAGAACATCCTTACACACAGATCTTTGCATACTTCTCAAACTCTTTCCTTCGAGTAATTTTCTAAGAAGTAGAATTTTGGAATAGAGAGTATGAAATTTTTCAAGTGTTTGCTATATATTGCCAAATTGCCCTTCAGAAAGGTTGTACCAGTTTACTCTCCCACCAGCCAGCTACTAAAATCCTCATAGAACTGCTGGCATGACTTCTCAAGTCAACTAGATAACTGTATTTGTTGGTGTTATTGATTTCAACTTTGTGCTAAAAATATTTTTATATCTGGAAGGAAGGAATAGGGACAGAGAACTTCTGTGGCATCAATTCTTAAAACTCTGGGAAGTGGCTTACATGTCTGGGAAGAGAAAATGTTGAGAAAGCAGTGGTAGGATGGCTAAGCATGGATCAGTAGTGAAGACTGGATTCTGAATTCCTTTTTTTCTCAGTGGTCATAAACTGTAGTTTTTTCATATAAAATGGGAACAATCCTTAATCTTAAAATTATGCTTTATAAATTACGTGTTCCCAAAATTATAACTCCTTTGAATTTCCTTAGGGAAAGATAATATACAAAATAAGATTAAGCTTCCTTCACCTTAAGACTGAATTTTATTTTAGGCACTCAGTTTAAGTAAGTTGCTTATAGCTCTAGAAGTACCTGATTCCCTGTTTAGGGATTTCATTCGATTACTCATTCAAACCTTTTCCTTATTAGCTAGATTGAATGTGTCCTTTGAACTATTTCATTATCTTGGTAAAACAGCATTTATAGGAAGAGCCCAGACTCAGCCTCATTCTCTGCACCAAGACGGACCACACACTGTCATTTTCCTCTGTCACTTTCAGTTTACTTGACAGAAAGGACTAAAGCAGAAGAACGTAAATTAGTTATAAATCACAGAAACACCTCTTGGAATTGGGGTTCTACCAGAGCTTCATTAGCTACTTCTTGTGAAAATTGAAGCCAAACAATAAAGCAGGAACGTAGAGGTGAATGTTGATCGAATGGCCACAGTGTGTGGGCATCACGTGGAACGTACACTTGGGCCTTTTATTTATTTTATTTTCATTTTTATTTTTTAAGGGTTTATTTATTTATTTGACAGAGAGAGAGATATAGCAAGAGAGGGAACACAAGCAGGGGGAGTGGGAGAGGTAGAAGCAGGCTCCCCCCACAGCGGGGAGCCCACTGTGGGACTCAATCCCAGGACCCTAGGATTATGACCTGAGCTAAAGACAGACGCTGAACGACTGAGCCCAGGCACCCCGCACTTGGGCCTTTTAGAACTCTCTTATTACAGGATGATGCTAATCGAGGCACCACGGGCCCTGTGTTTACATACCTGGGTTCTGTAAGAAATGGTAAATAGATGGGTCTTTACTTCAGGATTGGGAATTTACAACAATAGCAATTGCGACAGTCGTTGTTAATTTACTGCTTACCGTGTGCTGAGCAGTGTGCTGAGGACCTTTTAAACATTATTAATTTCTGCCCTCACATCAGCTTGATGAAGGATAGTACCCTCATTTTAAAGATGAGGATACAGACCCTTAGGAAGGTGAAGCAGCTTACCCAAAGACGCAGCTGCTGGGCGCCCATGCTAGAGCTCAGACGTGGACACACGGCACGTTCTCTTACCGCTGTGCATACAGCTGCCTAAGGATATCAGTACCCGCTGTCATTTAAAGATCATGATGTCCTAGACATTATGTCAGGCTCTACAAATAGCAGCTTCACTTTAGAGACTCCTAATAACAAGTGTGCAAGCGTTGGTATTGTTCTCTGCTTTCGCAGATGAGGAAGATACAATTCAAAGAACAGAAGAACTCACCCAAGGTCACACCGGCTGTACATTTTAGGACTGGGTTTCCTACTAGGCCTGTCTGGCTTTAAGGCCCCTACCCACTGTTGACAGTACATGGCTGCCTCATTGTGTATCAGGTCATTGCTTAGGAACAAAGAGATAGCACTGAAATCAGAGTGGTTTTCAGATACAGGCACTTGAATTTTAAATTATGATTCATTTAATAGGAATCTAGTTATATTAGACATTAAACAAAGAGAATGACTGTGTTCTATACTGATGAATAGGATAGTTTAATATATAATGTATATGTTCCTTTCATATATGTAATATAGATATTCCTTTCATATACATAAAACTAATTTGGTTTTATAGCTAAATTTACTTTTAAATGGGAGTTAATTTGATAATGGCATCCTCTGGCATGCTTCTGGGACTGATCTGCTTGACTGCTCCTGAAAGCGGGTATTTTTTTGAAGGAAAGCTCAAAATTTGGTTACTAGGAGTCTGTAGATTATGTGTGTTGAAATAATCTCGCATGTTATCGGCGCCATAAGAGCCAAATTACACATAGTGAGTTGTAGTCCATTAGGAAATAGTTCTATTGTATTAGGAAAATCTCTTTAAAATAACAGTCATGGGTTTTATCCTTCACCCTCTTGCTGGAGCCCTGTGCCCTTCTGACTTCAGCACACCAAGGAAGAACGAGGGGGATGGGAGTGGGGGATGGTGACTGGAGCCGTGTATGTGGCACTGATGAGAGAGATCGAAGATACAGAATCTATAAGAAAAATTATCCAGACATGTACTTTAAATCTATTATTTTGGTGGCCATGGACTAATGTGTAAATTACCTGGGCATTCAAATTGCTATGAAAAGGTTTGAATGAGTAGAAGGAAGTAAAATAACAGGATTGCCCTGCAGTGGTAACCTCTTAACCACTATCACGTAGTTATCGAACAGCTAAAACCACTGTAGCTGTACTCGTTAGTTGCCTGCCTGTTTCTCAGTCTCCGTGTCTAAACAAACCCAGTCTGAAGACCCCGGTGAGAGAAGACCCTGCCATGCGGGCTTCGGGCTTCGTGTAGGAATCTTCTCACTAAATGCAAACGGTGGGGGTGGGGGGCGGGGGGACAAGGAGTCTACAAGGAGTCTACGACCTCCAGTTGAGGAGGAGGGATTTTCACAGAGCTGTTCGGTTTGGAGAAAACTTGGGCCTTCTACCGACACAGCACAAGGTAGTGACTCTGGGAACAGCAGTGCTGGAGACCACAGAGGAGGACCCGGGGACAGGCGCCTCGTGCTGCCGTCTCGCCGGGTTCGCTGGCGGCGTGTCAGATGCACTTGGAAGTGCCAGTAACTGCTGTCTGCCTGATTGCTCGCCGCTGCAGGTGATCCTGAATTGCTGCGAGGGCGGAACACCCAAGGAGACGATGGAAAAGCTGCTGCACAGAATGTCTGAAGACAGGACTGTGACTGCAGAGAGTTTGGTAAAGCTCCTTCAGGCTGTGAAACCGACGTCCCCGAACTTGGGCCTCCTGCTGGAGAATTTGCAGAGATTAGCCACCTCGCAGGGCACCGCAGGTATCCCTTAATTGTCGGCTCTCTGGATTGGAACCTCTCCCACAGAAAATGAGAGCTTAAACACCCTTTGGGCACCATGCTGGGGAGATGAGGTGATGCTTAGAGACGCCCTAGTGCCGCAGAAACCAGCGATTGTCCGTAGTTCTGGAGTTGAGATCGGAGATCTGAGCACGGCTCTTGCTGGTCAGGCATCCTCATGATGTTCCTGTGGTTCAGGGCTTGTGAAGGTGTGGCTGGCCCACGGCTGGCCCCCGGCCCCCCAGGAATGCCGAGGGAGCAGGCCGGCTCACAGAGCGCGTGGCTTGGACACGTTGTTAAATCCAAGCAGCAAAGATGCCGATCTTGATTTTCCCACTCCCGTGTGAGGACTGGCTGGTTCTGGCAGGCCCCAGAATTACACACCTCTCGTGTGCATTCAGTCCGGGGCCGTGAGTCCCTGTCCCAGTCCTTAGAAAAATGTGTCAAGTCTAGCCAGTTGTCCCTTATCCCAGAGCCCTTGAGACCAATGTGGTTTTCAGAAAAGGGGTAGTTGGAAAAGGAAACAACTTTCTTCTAGCTTGTAGAAACAATGAATATCTATACAAACTTGAACAGTTTACAAAATAAAGAAGAAAACAACCTCCAACTTTCCCACTTGATTATGTCCATACTGGGGCATTAACATATTTGTCACATTATTTTTACAATGTTGAGATACTCTACTGTATTTTATAATTTTATAATTTCTTCCATTTAACAGTATAACATAAACATTCCGCCCCACATTTCAGAAAACGCTCTATAATCCTATATTTTGAAGGCTCTGTAGTTTTCCATCACAAGGGCACATACTGTGTATGACTCCTGCCCTGTTTAGGGGTACATGGGGTGTAACGCTTAGGCTATCAAGACTACCTGGGTTTGTATCCTGATTATTTTGTAGATGTGTGACCCTGAGCCAAGGGACCCTAACCCTTCCAAACTTCGTTTTTTCCTGCGATGGGAGTGAGAATGGCACCCATCACATTCATTCTTGTGGCTCCTGGGAGACAATATATGTACAACAGTTAGCAAATTATAGGTCCTCAGTAAACATTAGGTGTTCTCTCCCTCATCATCACAGGTAACTCAGTGGCAAATAGCTTCACACACAGATTTTTTGCCTCCGGAGCATTTCGTAAGGCCTGATTCCCAGAAGCAGGGTGAACTGGGCCAAAGAGGAGAATACATTTTTAAATATTTGTAAAACTAAAGGAAATGCATGATAGTTTCTATTTTTCGTCCTTTGAAATTAAATATGACTTTTTAAAAGAGAGTCCCTAACAGATCAACTCAAAGGGCATGAAGAACGACAGGTCAGTCTCACTACTGGAGTCTCAGCTGAACGTCTGCTAGTATTTTGGATTGCCACATGGGTCCTTAAGCTCAGGCTCGAGGAGTAACACCCCTTGAATCTGTGTGTCTGAGTCTCTTACAAGCACGCCTTCTAATTACCTCCCTGTTGAGCTATCGCTGGCTTCTGCCGCTGGGCACTGGCTTTCAAAGTGTTAGAGGTTTTGCGACCCGGAAGCACCAAGTGATTAAGGGTAGACCAGAGGAGATCTGAACGCACATGTATGAGGCCCCAAGCCGGGAGCCGAACCTGCCTTCCAGAGGAGACAGAGCTCTTGTGTGATAATCCTCTTCCTCTGTCATTTGTAACTCCCCTACTCCTCTGTAGCAGAAGCCCGTAAGGACATTTTGTTATAGCAAACATTATTGTTTTGCTAATATCCTTGCAGTCCAAGCAAGCCCTGATGATTATGGGACCGAGCTGTTGAGACGGTATCATGAAAACCTCTCGGAGATTTTCACAGACAACCAGATATTACTAAAAATGATCTCACACGTGAAGGGTTTAGCCTGTGGAGAAAGAGAGGTAAGAGAAAAAGGGGGCGGGGAGGGGGGTTGGGTAAAATGGGAAAAGGAAAAAAGATGGACATATATACATACTTTAAAACTATACCTAGGGGGGTTGCCTGGGTGGCTTAGTGGGTTAAAGCCTCTGCCTTCAGCTCGGGTCATGATCCCAGGGTCCTGGGATCGAGCCCTGCATCGGGCTCTCTGCTCAGTGGGGAGCTTGCCTCCCCCTTCTCTCTCTGCCTGCCTCTCTGCCTACTTGTGATCTCCGTCTTTCAAATAAATAAATAAAATCTTTAAAAACAAAACAAAAAAACTATACCTAGGGGCGCCTGGGTGGCTCAGTGGGTTAAAGCCTCTGCCTTAGGCTCAGGTCGTGATCCCAGGGTCCTGGGATCGAGCCCTGTATCGGGCTCTCTGCTCAGCAGGGATCCTGCTTCTCTTTCTCTCTGCCTGCCTCTCTGCCTACCTGTGATCCCTGTCTGTCAAATAAATAAATAAAATCTTAAAAAAAAAAAAAACCTACACCTGTATTTTACATAAATATACACACGCAGCCATCTTGAAAAATGCTAAGAGGTCCATAGAGAAGGAAAAACAAGGTGATTTGCTTTCTAGGGCAGAGTCGTGAGTCAGAGGTTGTAATTTCTGCAATAATAAGAAAGGCATTCAAAGGACAGTGTGAAGAGCTTTGGCGGGTACAAAAGTCTCCGGTTGAGAGGTGAAGGGTACTGAGAAACCCCTCCCCAGAAGTATGTCCACTGTGGCCCGGAACTCAGGCTCACAGCTCTGCAGCTGGGCTGGCAGCTAGAGGGTCCCTTATGTGTGTTTTTGTGCCACATCTTGAAGGTCATGGAGAAGCTCGTGAAACGTGACTCTGGCTCAGGTGGTTTCAGTTCTCTGATGTCAGCAGTTCTAGAAAAGCAGACTCTCTCTGCAACGGCCATTTGGCAAGTGCTGCTGGTGGCTCAGGAGACCAAGACCTGCCCGCTGAACCTGCTCATGGAGGAAATACGGAGGGAGCCTGGCGCCGATGCCTTCTTCCGGGCAGGTAGGCCACCCAGTCTCTTGTCAGAGCCTTGTGCCAGCTGGAGAGTAGCACCAGTCTTGCCAGGAAATAGCAGGAGCTCTCATGGTCATTTTCCACATCCCTACCACTGCAAGTAAGGGCTGGCAGTTTTGTTTGAGGACATGGGAGTTTGTGAACCTCGTAAAATAAAATGCGCAGTAACTATTATAAGCTGATATTAATTACATTCTAAGTATAGCACCGTTTGCTGTTTTCCCCACTCCCAGCCCCGGGAAGGATCGGTGAAGTGTATTTTCACTCTTCACAGTCAGAAAAGGTGAAGGAAAAATGGTGCTCATGGTTTCACTCATGAGTTTCCAATCCCCCTTTCTTTCAGTGGCCGACCCAGAAAGTGCAGCTTTGGAAGCCATCCTGAGGCATCGCAGACTGATCCTAGAGGCCATCCAGCAAGGGACGGGACTCAAGGGCTTTACCGTGGAGGAGGAGCTGCTGGCAGAGGCTGTGAAGGAGGTGCGGTGGGGGAAAAGCCTGTTTTTCTGGGGAGTTCTACCAGGCTCATGCCTGGGATGGTCTCATTCCTGAGGGAGGCACTGAATTCTGCAGAGTGCCTCTTGCACGCCAAACCCCGTGCTGAGCCAACATTTCTTTGTTGTTTAATTCTCTCAGCCCTGCATGGCAGGGGATGTCATCCAGTTTACAGAATAGGGACTCAGGCTCTAAGGGGTCTGGTAACAGGTCTAGGATGCTCCAGCTGGTCAGAGCGGAAGCCAGGGTTTGAACCCAGGCTCATGTGGCTCCAACCTAGATGTATTTCATTTACCTGAACCTAGGTAAGCTCAAAGGGAACCATGATAACTGTTTCCTAACATGTTTTATGGAGCAACTGCTTTCAGAGGAAGAAAAGTAAAATTGGTCCGGCATCTAGGAAGAGCCAAGACAAACATAGCTAGAACAAAGCTTTTGCCCATATGGGGTATCACGTAGTGCCAGCTCATTTTCTGTAAGGCTTCTTAGTGTGGCCAGCATCCCAGAAAAACCAGGTGGGGACTTGGGGGGATTCATGGATGTCCAGCCCAGGATCATGGGCATCTCGAGTGGGGAAGAATTATAAGGGGATTAGATTAAACTACAGGTTCCCCCCGTACGTGCCTTTTAATCCAGGTAGGCGTGGAAGGTGTGCCGAAGGGCGGGTTTCTAGCACTGTCCACACAAGTGACAACCCCACCGTGGTCTGACTCTTGGATGGGAAGACGGTGGCACAGATTTCTGCGGGCCTTCCGAGCCGGACGCATCTGCGAGACTCCGGCACACCTCGCGCTCCAGAGACGGAGCTCTCGCAGTTGATGAGTTTGAGCCTCGCTAATGAGCCTCGGGCCTACCTCCAGGGACATCAGGTTTATTTAGATAGACTTGAAAAGAGCAGAAATAAAATGTCTTCCCAAACGAAACTTCCATTTGGCCATCTGTGGATGGTTTCGCTTTATTTTCTCAGTGTACGGACTCTTTCTGCTGATCCCTCTAACATTCAGAGAGAGGATGGCTTTGAAATAAAATTCTTGGCCTCTTTAAAGCCCCTATTTGAACCTTCTTTAAAAAGCCGATTTTTTTTTTCATGAAAGAAAATGTTTAAAAGGGTACATCTAAGTGTCTAAAAATGTGAAGCCACTGATCATGCAGAATTACTTCCAAACACTGTGACAATTACATATTATCAGAAATTATCTTGATCTTCAGGACAGAGCCACCAACTACCAAATCCTATAGCTTTCCAAGCTTTTAATACCGAGATCTAGAAAAGTTCTTTTGGAGACTCCTGGCTTCTGAGAAGATGCTTCTTGTAGAAAATGCTCAGCGTTTCCTTGCTCTGGTACCTTTGTTTTTGCACGTTTGTCTTGACACGGGTCTCCCTTTTCTCCTTTTCCTTTCTTAATTTGCCAGTTTCCTTGTTCTCTGGAAATGAGCGTTCTCCCTTACATTCATCACAAGAAGTGTAAACCTGTTATAAACGGAGCAGTGCCTTCCTCACATTAGCTTTCTTTCCCCACTAGTTGGGAACCACGGAGAAAACTGCTGATATTAACCACAAACCTTTGTCTCCTGGTGTTCATTTAGATTCTGAGCATTTCCTCGGAGACTGCGAGCCCTGAAGCTTCCCTGAAAGTAGTGCTGACCAGAGCCATGGAAAAATCCGTCTCGGCCATTGAAATATGTCACCTCCTGTGCACCGTGCACAGATCTTTCCCAGACCTGCAGCCTGTCATGCACGAGTTAGCACACGCTGGTAAGGAACAGAGCGGGGGCTGGGGGTCACATCAGGCCCACAGGTTGTGTCTGTCCTGCAGAGAAGAGGCAGTAGTTCGTAGACGGCTTCGTCCATCGCTGCCTCACTACTGTGAAATGCTCTCAGTACCTGCACAGGTCACAGGCCTCGATCTAAGCCGATGCTGTGGGTGTGTATTGGAAAGTGAAGGTGACGGTGGTATCATTCCAGAGTTTTAGAGGGTCCCGCCCTAGTCTGCAGCCTTCTTTAGGAAAGATTAGGAAGCAAAGCAGAAATGCAGGATTTCCAGAGCCATGCGATTTCTCTCGTCTGCAGGCTTCCTTACTCAGGAAAGTGGAGGGAAGGAGAGGTGGAAGGTGAGCGGTAAGTTTCGCCGTGAAGCCGACAGCAGAACAGACGAGAAGGTGGCCGAGCCGGCGGAGGAAGGCTGCCAGTCTGGGAAACAGAGCAGTCCAGGAGAGACTGGGTCCTTGCCAGAGAGACAAGAGAAAGACACGTCTGCCTCCTCCGACGCTGCCAAGAAGAGCTTCGTGTGTAAGGCCTGTGACAAAAGCTTCCACTTCTACTGCCGCCTGAAGGTGCACGTGAAGCGTTGCCGGGCGGCCAAGAGCCAGCAGGTGCAGTGCAAGGAGTGCAGTGAGACCAAGGGTTCCAAGAAGGAGCTGGAGAAGCATCAGCTGGAGGCCCATGGTGCAGGAGGAGATCCCGATGTCCCAAAGAAGAAGAAGAAGAGGCTGCCAGTGACATGTGACCTCTGTGGGAGAGAGTTTGCCCACGCCTCAGGTACTTCCAGGAAGGCAGAGTGATTTCAGAGGGCGGGCGTTCCGGGTATGGTAGAGTGGACTCCAGGCCTTGCCTCCGGTTGTGTGCAGTGAGGGCTACGGGTGGGCCTGGGAAACAGAGGGCTCCCACAGAGGCGGGTGATGTTTTGAGGAAAGCATGAGCTGTGGACTCAGCTCCCCGAGCTTTCCTTTCCCCATCTGTTAAGCAGGCACCCTGACAGCACCCACTTTCTGGAATTGTTGTGAAGAGTTCACATAGTTAAACCCCTACCTACAGCGCCTGCAGTAGAGTTCGTAAGTGGCGGTGGCTGTTACTGATAGCAATAACCAGCTAGTTAACAGGAGACTCAGGCTTCCACATACCACTTGTTTCTTGTTAATAAATAGGTCACAAACTCTGGGACGGATAGTCAGAATTGTTTACCCTCGTCCCAGACGTTGGCTAAACCTAATGAAACATAAAAGCGAGTTTTGTTTCACTGTCTCTTGGTGGTGGGTCCTATTTAAGAGAGAGAGGGGAGGGGAGGGGAAGGATACATCCGGAACACTCCATGCCTGATGCAGACAGGAGAGGGACCGAGGTGACTTTCAGAGTGCGGGCCGGTGGGCGGATGAGCAGCAGGGCCGAGTGTGGGCGGCCTGCTATGCCGCCTCGTGGGGCCTGGCCCCCGGCAGTGCTGTTACGTGTCCTCACGCTGGCGTCGTCACGTTGATGATGGGTATCCCTCTGGCCCCTGACGTGGCTTCCCTAGGCATGCAGTACCACAAACTGACAGAGCACTTTGACGAGAAGCCTTTCTCCTGTGAAGAGTGTGGGGCCAAGTTCGCGGCCAATTCTACCCTGAAGAACCACCTTCGCCTTCACACGGGGGACCGCCCGTTCATGTGCAAGCACTGCCTCATGACCTTCACCCAGGCTTCCGCCCTGGCCTACCACACCAAGAAGAAGCACTCGGAAGGTAGGGTGCCGAGAGTGTCTTCATTCTTTCTGCCAACTCTCAGTGGGTCGCCTGCCCAAAAACCCATTTGGAACGAGGCATGACGTGTCTCTCAAGTAGATTAGAAACAAAAAACGGTGCACACTCTGCCTAGAGTGATGACCAGGAGCACACAGGTACACGGGCACGTAAAATGCTTATGGTAAGAGTTGGTGAAGAGAGGCTAACTAACGTAGGACTGTGACCTTATAGTTACAGAATTGGCAGAAAGCCAGGAGTTCCTCGGGCTTCGAGGTAGAGTTCACGCATGAGACAAACCCTGGCTGAGCACATGCCGTGGGTCAGACCATGGCCAAGTGACGACGCAGGAGCTGCTGGGCCCCCAGAGCTCACGGGCCAGGGGATTCTCTGCCGTAGAGACGGAGGCAGTGCAGAGCTGCGGACGCTGGGATAGGGTATAACCCCAGCAAGGTGGAGGGACGGGGAAGGGGTTTCTAGTCTGCTCAGAGCCAGGGAGATGCGTGCTCAGAGAGGGCCTCTCAGAGGACTCCCTGCCTTGTTTGGCACGTTGATGTATAAGAAAGAATCCCACCATGGGGCGCCTGGGGGAGCTCAGTTGGTGGTGAAACATCTGCCTTCAGCTCAGGTCAGGATCCCACAGTCCTGGGATCCTGCTCAGCACGGAGCCTGCTTCTCCCTCTCCCTTTATGTGCACGCGTGTGCTTTCTCTCTCCCTCTCTCTCAAGTAAATAAATAAAATCTTTAAAAAAAAAAAAAAAGTCCTGCCATCATCTCACCTGGATCGTGGTAGGAGCCACCTATCCCTTGCTCTCATCCTCTCCCTAGATGGTGCTCTTGGGCCTCAGGCCCCAGTGGTCCTTTCGGTGCTAACCCATATCCTGTCCCTTCTTTGCTCAAAACCTTTTTGCAAAAGCTCTTCACCTCACTCCGTGTAAAATCTGAAGGCTTAACACTAGCCTGCCAGGCTCCCTGTGACCGGGTCTCCTAAGACCTCCCCTCTTACTCCCCTCCCTCGCGCTCACCCTGTTCTCTCCGACTGCAGCCTCCTTGCAAGGCTCTGGCCCGGGAGGACACCTGCCGGCCCTGCGTGCTTGCCCTTCCCTCCGCTCGAAGGCTTTCCTGTCATCCCTCCTCTCCTCCTTCAGGTCTTTGTTCCAGCTCTTCCCCGCGAGTCCTTTCCTGGCCACCCCGTGTAAAATCTCAGCCCCGGCTCCACTTCCCCTGCATCGTTCTCCTCCGTAGGGCTTGTCGCGGGAAATGTTCCCTACTTAATTTCTCGTGTTTCTAGTCAGTCCCCCCCGTTAGAATGGAGGCTCCACAAGGTAGAGCTGTTAGTTCCCCACACACCCCCCCCAGCTGCTGCTGCTGGAATAGTACTTAGCAAGACTCGACCCTCAGTAAACATTCAGCGAGTAAATGAATTTCCACAGCACTATTCCAGGCACTGGGAGTGTGTATACGCACCGGGGTGCCATGGAGTTCACTTCCAGTGATAAGAGAGACCATAAACAAATGCGTAGTGTAAGTTTAGATAGTAGTCATTGCTAGGAAGAAAAATAAAGCAGGGTCATCAGCAGGGGAATGGCAGGGTTTGCCATCATCAGAGAAGGCCTCAGAGACGTGAGGCTTGTGTGGGCGAGTGACGTGACAGCTGGAACCTGTGGAAGATCTTGAAGAGCATCCCAAGTGCAGAGACCCTGCCCCCTGCAACTGGAATGAGCCGGACCTATTTGAGACACCACAGGAGAACTAGAAGGAGCTGAAACAGAGCAGACACGGAAAGAGCGGTGGGAGAGAAGGCCAGAGAGCTCACCAGAGGCCAGGTGTAGGGCCATAGAGGCCAGGGTCAGGACTTTCTGTTGTTGTTTTAGTTTGTTCTGTTTTTAGGACTTGGGTTTTTATGCAGAGTGGGCTAGTTTCTGTTGCTGCCGTAATGAATTACCAGACACCATAGCTAAAATCAAGGCAAATATATTACCTTGCTACTTCGGAGGTTAAAGAGCCAAAAGAGGTTTTAACAAAGGAAGAGTCAAAGTTTTGGTGAGTGTGTTCCTTCTGGAAGGTCTGGGGGAGAACTTGTTCCTCGTTTTCCCAGCTTCTAGAGGTTGTGTGGCTTCCGCAGCTCATGCCATGTCCTTGTTTCCCCCATTGGGCCTCCTCCTCTAACCCTCCTTGCTCTTTCTTCCAAAGAAGCTGTGATGACATTGGGCCTGCTGGTATAATCCAGGATAGTCTTCCCATCTCAAGACCCTTAACTTAATCATATCTGCAGAGCCCCTTTTGCCACATGAAGGAACATGTTCCCAAGTTTCGGGGCGTTAGGACATGGGCACCCTTAGGGGCCATGATTCTACAGCAGGAAGCCATGGGCCAGCTATGAGCAGAGGAGCAGCAGGAGGTGACTTCTTCGGAGTTAATTTGGAGTTAATTCTGGCCACTCTCAGCAGTCCGCTTTAATAAGAGAAGAGTCATGTTCACAGGGAGGCAGGGCCAGCCAGTGTCTGGTGTGGAGGTGTCGGGGCTCTCAGCTAGGGCGTGCTGCGGGCAGTCATCACAAACATTCAAGTTGAGGGTGGTGTTGAAGCAGAAGTGATAGGACCCATGGTGGGCTGCCTGGTTAAGGATGGCTATGGGGTTTCTGGATGAGCAGCCAGGTATGTGGCCCTGCCCTTCCCTGCAGTGGACGGAACTGGAGTGCTTGGGGGCTGGTGGCGGGTCATGGGGGTGCCGGGGACGGAGCCTCAGGAGCTCTGTCTGAGGGATAGCCGTGAGCTCCACGCAGAGAAGGACAGAAGAGGCTGGATGTGTAATTCGCGTTTACAGGGGAAGCTGGGAGCCAGAGCTAGGACTGTGGGCGTTCTCAGGGTACAGATGGTATCTGAGCTCTGAGCTAAGGTCATCTACAAAGGGAGAATAAAGCAGGCGGCCAAGGGCTGAGTCCTGGGCTTCTTAATAATTTCAGCTCTTGATCGAAGAAACCCTTTTTTTCCTAACAAAATCTCATTTCAAAGCCCAACATGTGAAAAATGCAAACGACGTTGATTGCTCTAGCTGAAGTGGACCTCGGATTTGAGGGATTTGGACTCTCACCTCACTGATTTCTCCACTTCTCTGCTGGCCCAGAAGGGACCCTGGAGGCACAGCTGGTCTGGTGGTTTCTTACAAATGCCAGTTTTCCAGCCTTGCTCTTTACCTCTATTTCCCAACAGTCTTTGGCAGTCTGGTCATTGTATTCCCATTATGTGTGTGAGGGAACAGAGAAGCCAGATGATTTATAATAACTTCATAGCAAGTCAGCAGGGGAAGGCTTCCCTTCTCTCAATCCCCGTCTGTCACCTCCGTGTGCAGTCGCAGTTCCACACGGTGCGTGTGGCCAGGGATCCAGACCCGGGAGTTTCTGGGCAGGAGGATACGTCTGTTTTCTGGGGGTGGAATGAGCTCTTCCATAACTTAGAGGGGCCTGGTTAACAGATGGGTGGTCTTGTGTGGTGAGAACTCTGTTCTTATCCCGCAGGGGAGGGAGGCCTCACTGTCATCGGCTCCGTGCGAGGTGCCATCCGATAGAAGGGCCCAGACCTCTCACCCGGGGTGTTACAAATTGCGTGTGGTTTTGACGCCATCTCCCAGATTGTATTCCCCGACACGTGCCTTACCGTGTGATCTTGTGTTTAGGGATGCCTTCCGTGTTTGGTGCTATTTCTAATAAGCACTTGTGCATGTTTCCAGGGAAAATGTACGCTTGCCAGTACTGTGATGCTGTGTTCGCCCAGTCCATTGAGCTGTCCCGCCACGTGAGGACCCACACTGGGGACAAGCCGTATGTCTGCAGGGACTGTGGCAAGGGCTTCCGGCAAGCCAACGGCCTGTCCATCCACCTGCACACCTTTCACAGTACGTACTGGGATGGCGGCTGTCAGGCATTCGGCACCCGGCCTGGCTTTAAGAAGGCGTGTAACGATCATGACAGAAGTTGTCACTCCACCAGAGCCAGGCCCCACTTGGTGTCTTCCCCTCCCCCGTTCTCCTGCAAAACCAAGTCCCTCGTTCCTATTTCAAGAAAAATCCCATTTTTAACATGTCATTGTGTAATGTCCGAGCTGTTTCCTTGTCTCCTTTTTAGCCCACCTGGCACTGCTTGCCTGACAAAGGCAAATTATGCTTGAAGGAGAGCCTCAGTAACAGACAGGCTGCAGAGCTCCAGAATATTCCCATTAGTCCACTGAGCTGCTCTTTGCTTGCCCCTTCCCTCCCCAACTCATCTTGTAGTCCTACCCGCCTTTCCCCGAGGAGCAGCCGGACGCTGTCTGAGTTAATATCTACCGTCGTGAGTGGTCCCTGCTCTCGCCCCCCTCCCAACCTGGGAAGCCTACTGCCTGACATTCCCTCCCTTGTGCCCCTGGAGCCACTCAGGTAGTGGGGTCTGCCACTTTCTCCACTTCTACGGGAACTGATACAGGCAAAACATACTTCTATTCAACACACGCACAGGAAGGCAAAGAAAACTCTGTGCATCTTCATCCCAGCCTCGGGAAGTGGCCAGTGTGGCGTCTGCAGCCACGTCCCATCTCCCCCAGCAGACTCGTTGCAGTGGGAGTGAGCAGCACAGCGTAGCAGGGGTGGTTAGGAGCTTGGGCTCCGACTCCACTAGGGCCTGGAACTGGACCTTGACCCTGCCATTCACTTCCTTGAGACCTTAAACAGATTTCTTTACCTTTCCAATCCGCCATGCCCCTTTTGTCCATGAGGAAAAGTAATAATGCCACCGCCTTGGATTGCTGTGAGAATTAATAAGGTGTCTGTCCTGTGTGAAGCGTGAACCCCTCTGCCTGACACACAGAAGATGCTCAGTAAACACCAGATAGTAGTATTGGTGGTAAAAGCAACCGTCTCAGGTGCCATTTGTCGCCATCAAAGCCTGTCTTTCTGGCGTGCCACGTACCCTGCATATCCTCCTCCCCTTCTTCCCTACCCCTGTTTTCCACACACCAGTTTCTAGCTATCTGCAAAAACAGTGCCTCACAAACATGGCCTTTATGTCAAGGCCATTCAGATATATTATCAGCCAGCCAACAAAGGATGTTGTCAGGACTCCTGTGTCCCTGACGTGGGGCTGGACCCTGGGCGATGCTGGACATACGTACAGTGCAGCCCCTTCCCCTGGGGAGTTCACAAGTCCCCGAATCCAGCTGCAGTAGACGCCCAGATGAGAGGTCTATCTTGGATCTAGTGCTGTAATTACAATGTCCTTTCGACCTTTTTAAAGGACGTTCTGCTCTGGATGCTCTGCTCTGGTCTCCTCTTCCTGGTAGCATTACCTAGGAGCCAGGAGATGGTGGGGTTGATCAGTTGTCAGGACGAAGAGGAGCCCAAAGATCTCCATGTCCTGGGAAAGGTCATTGGCAGCAGGCCAGCGGCCAGGACCCTCTCCTAGGCTGCTGCTTGCCTGTTTCCCAGGCCTGCGTCGTAGCATATGGAGAACTGCTTCACCCCGTGTCTTTGGAGACAGTGTAGACTGAGATTTCGGAGCTCATGTCCACAGGGACACCAGTTAATGATACCGAGTGCTGCCGTGTGTCCAAATTCTGGAATTAATTGGAGCCCGTCCACGCGTTAAGATTGGCTAGTAGGCAAAGGATTTTATTATTAAAAGGCGCTGCTTTCTGTTGCTTTCAGAAAAACTGAAATCTCTTGCCACAGGGATGGCAGATGTATCCTTCCTCAGTGCTAGTTCTTTCTTCTGAGGCCTCCCTGAAGAGTTGGCGTGTCTAGTTAAGCAGGTGGCTCAGAGCACAGCCTTGGGAGTGAGAGCAGCGACTGTCACCCGGTTGAGTCATTTCCCACTTGTGTCACTGGGTGCTCTCGAAGACTTGCTTTTCCTAATCTCTAAAACAGGATGATGATAGATCCCACGTGTAGGGTTATTGGAAGGTTAGAGCGAGTTCATATTTGTAAGGCACTTAGAATATGGCTGTCATGCAGTACTCATTAAACATTGAGAATGTTTTTATTGTTGAATCCAAGGTGAGGAGCAAGGAAGCATCCTTCCTGTCAGTCAGACGCTGACAACAGAGCAAACAGTGAGGCTCTGGGGAGTGTGTTGGAAATCTCTGCAGAACATGAGAACACTCAGAAAGGCCCAGCGCAGGCAGGGGAAGAGCAAGGGCGGTCCTCCCTGCAAAGTAGTTAAATGGAATTGAACTTGTAGGATGTAACGTGAGGAATGGGGATGAACTACTTGGTGCCGCAGAGGGGGTTCGTACAGAAGCCTCAGAGGCATCCCCCCGACCCTGGACGAAGGTAGCGGGGGGTGGTCAGGCGATCGCCGCACTCACTGCTGGTCCTCGGAGCGTGCGGCCATACCTGACCTCCGAACAGCCTCGAACCCGGAACCGCACCCAGCTGCCGCGCCTCCCTGACGGCTGCCCGTGGTGTTTTTCCCTCCCTCTCTCCCCGCGGATGTCCGTGAAACCAGACATCGAGGATCCGTACGACTGCAAGAAATGCAGGATGAGCTTCCCCACGCTGCAGGACCACCGCAGGCACATCCACGAGGTGCACTCCAAGGAGTACCACCCCTGCCCCACATGCGGGAAGATCTTCAGCGCCCCCTCCATGCTGGAGCGGCACATGGTGACCCACGTCGGCGGGAAGCCCTTCAGCTGCGGGATCTGCAACAAGGCCTACCAGGTGACCGCGCGCTCGGCCCGGAGCGCCTCCCCCGTCCCCGGCCTGCCCTCCCTTGCATCTGCCCGGAGTCCCAGAGCGGACGAGGTGGCTGCCGCTCAGGAAGGATGCAGCTTGTAACCGCTGAGATTCTCTAAGGTGATCTGGTCAGAGTGATGCAGCTGGGAGCTTTAATTGGAGCCGAGAATTCCTACAGCTCTTCTCTTGGATTTCAGCCCTGTCACGAGCTGAATGCTGCTTTTCCCCTTGGACACTCACACTCGGTGCAGCCCGTTGAGCCCGTGTGTCAGGGGATGTGAGAGTGACAATGGGCCATGTAACACTGCCTGCAGTTACCTTGTTTAGCACGATGACTGGGTTGTTGTCGCTGTTTTTAAACTCCTAGGGAAGGGGTCTGCTTTTTCACTGTAGAATTTGGTATGTAATTAAAGGGAAACCCCATATGGAACTAAAAAGAAACCACATAAGAGAAACTCAACTCTAAAACTGCAGAGAAAAAATGGTTCTTGTGACGTCTGTAAGATTTGGATGTAGGGAGAGAAACACCGCGGCTAATGCAGCTCCGCAGACATGGAGAGCTCACTTTGGACCACACCTGGTGCTATGACCTCAGGGTTACAGAGCTGAGTAAGGCATCAGCTTGGTCACTGGGAAAGCCGGGAACTGTGGGGTGAGAGTGTCTCCGGGCTGCTCTGGAACCTGGGAAGGAGCAGGGACCGCGCATGCTTCTGCTCCAGCTCCAGCAGGCTTCTCTGCTGCCTCCCTGGGCCTCTGGGAGGCGGTGAGATACAGCTCACATGCTCTGGTGGGAAGGCCGGGGTTTGAATTCTGGCCCTGCTATTTACTGATAGGACCTTGGGCAAGTCATTTAACCGCTGTGTGCCTCAGCTCACCTCACTAGAAAGATTCTGATGCCTCTCTCATAGGCTTATTGTGAAGGGTGAGAGTTTCTGAAGGACCAGGCTGTACCCTGCCCCGTAGTGGTCTCTCAGCAAATACACAGGAGCCTGGTTCCCCAGCCACCAGCCATTCCTCTCACGTGAGCACTCAGTGTGATGGGTGAGAGTGTGATTCTAGATCCATAAGCTCTTGTCTCACAAGGGCCTTGGGACCTCTCCAGCTTGCTGGACCTTCTAAGACTTAACATTCGCCATGTTCCTTGCAGCAATTGTCTGGGTTGTGGTACCACAATCGGACCCACCACCCTGATGTGTTTGCCGCTCAGAACCATCGATCTTCCAAATTCTCATCACTGCAATGCAGCTCCTGTGACAAAACCTTTTCCAACACCATTGAACACAAGAAGCACATCAAGGCAGAGCACGCAGGTGAAGTTGGGGTGCCTGAGACCACCATTGTGAGCTGATGAGTGGGAGTGGCTCGATGACAGCATCCCGGGCTCCAGCAAAAATCCCACCTTCTGGTTCTATACTGTGGTGTGTGTGGCAGTGGCCTTTGTTCTGTCCCAGCACACCTGAAGGAGGCCATGCTGGCCCATCAGGAGCAGTGAAGAGTAGCTTGAGTGGCAGTGGTTCTCAAATCTGGGGGCCTCGAGCACTGTGAGCTCCTCCCAGCGCTGAGGGACGCTGGTACACGGCGGGACCTGGGACGGGTAGTTGTAGTGGCAGACAGGCTTGGGCGGAAAGCCTGACTCCCACATGGAGCAGCTGCATGACCTTGGCAAGTGACCTCTCTTGCCTGAGCCGGTTTCCTTCTCTTCAGAAAGTTAATACCCCCCTTGCCGGTCAGCCTGGGCTAATCACCACAGTCATGAAGCATGTCCTGTGTGCAAGGTGCGTGCTGAGCATTGGTGGTGCTCCTACTCCATTCGTATAGCAGCCCTTCTTCCATCCGGGCGGCCTGGCTCCGATCTGGCGTCCTTTACACCAGATTGTTCTGCAAGCTCATGGCTGTGAGGTTCCTGGTACTTCGTAGATGCTTGCTAAGTATTGGCCAGCACCGCCCTCTGCAGCCCGAGAGAGCCGTCCTCTGGTTGGTTCCCACCATTTCTTTCCTTGTGTGCTTCACAGATATGAAGTTCCACGAATGTGAGCAGTGTAAGGAGCTCTTCCCCACACCAGCCTTGCTACAAGTTCACATCAAGTGTCAGCATTCAGGTCAGTGCCCCTTGCGAGATGCTCCTGGCCTGGACTGCCCTGGTGTGTCTTGTCTCCACCATCCACAGCCATGCAGGCCAGACCAAGTAACCGAACGGACTTGTGCCTCCGTTTCCTTATCTGTAAAACGGGGACAGTTAGAGTGCTTCCTTCCTTGCAGGGTAACTGCAATTTGAAATACGTTAGTACCCGGAAAGCGTGTAAGGCCTGGCACCCGTGAGCATCCCTCCAGCGTGACCTGGGATTATCCTTGTTGCTGCCATGTCTCCTCAAATCTAAAATGCTAGTGTTGTATGAACCATCAAGAAAGATAAACTGGTTCAGTGGGTTAAGCCCCTGCCTTCGGGTCAGGTCATGATCTCAGGGTCCTGGGATCGAGCCCCGCATCGGGCTCTTTGCTCGGCGAGGAGCTTGCTTCCCCCTCTCTCTCTCTGCCTGCCTCTCTGCCTGCTTGTGCTCTATCAAATAAATAAATAAAATCTTAAAAAGAAAAATAAAGGAAAATCTGCCAGTTAAACTACATCGTCACTTAGAATTTGCAAGTGATTCTGCATATGCTGTTCTGGGCTTAATTTGGCAGATTTTACACACTCTTGGTACATCAGAAGGAAAATATGAGAAATAAATCATGGTGAGCATCCCGCCTCTCAGAGCAGCTTTCACTTCTGTTGGTCGAGGCGCGTGTGCTTGCACGTGGCGTGTGCTCCGCCACCAGCAGCACCGCCGGTGGGGCACAGCAGGCCGTTAGGTTCGGTCCCTCGAGCATGACGTAAAACTGGTCTACTCTTGCTGCTTTAGGGATGTAGCTGAACATCTGCCCCTTACTCATCCCTCCTAAACCATTTGGTTCTTGGGAGTTAAAAACGTGCACCACTCCTGTCTCAGGGATGTTCTTGGAAGCCACGGACACACTCCGCAGGTCTTGGTGCTGCCACCATAGCCGTCCGTGTGCGCATGGTCATTGGTGATTTTACATCCCACTGCTACGTGGCCTGTAGCCGTCATAAGATGCCCTTGAACCCGGGTCAGAGATGTCAGCGCGTGCCTCATGGACTTGATGAGGTACGGTGTCCTCAGCGTCCTGGCCCACAGTTGAGTGAAGACTGGCCTTGAGCTGAGGCAGAGTCATTCTGGAGCTAATGCTGGCGAAGCGTGGCTGCGGAGCCCCTCGCTTGTGTGGGACCTAGTCCTGTATTTATCATGTTGCCTTATCTTTCCTGAAGAGGATCCCCCAGATCGTAGAAGCTTCGGGTGCCACCGAACCCGAATCTGCCTCTGCACCTCGATCCTGGTTGCTCCTTCCTCTCCCCTCGCCTGCTCTTGCTTCTCTCAGGCATTCCACCCGCAGCCCATCCTTTCTGTCCCCCCTCTTCCAGGGTCCCAGCCATTCCGGTGCTTGTACTGTGCAGCCACCTTCCGTTTCCCGGGAGCACTGCAGCACCACGTCACCACGGAGCACTTCAAGCAGTCCGAGAGCACCTTCCCCTGCGAGCTCTGCGGGGAGCTCTTCACCTCCCAGGCCCAGCTGGATGGTCACTTGGAATCCGAACACCCCAAGGTGATGGGCTCTGAACCCCAAGCGGCAGCTTCCCAGGTGGTACAGGTGATTCTGGGGCCACCCGCCACGAGGGTGCGGACACGGGAGTCCCAAGGCTTCTCTGGAGGCAGCTCTGTCACACCACCCAGCCGTTCTCTCGGGGGCTCCCGGAGGATCCCATATGTAATAACATGACTAAGAGGGCCTTATGGAAGCATCTCTCTGGGCCCCTTACTAAACAGAACACTCTAGTCTCCTGGCGAGCACCTGCAAATGGCCACTGGGTAGAGGGAGAATTTCCAAAAGCAGAACACCCTTGCTTTGTCCTAATTCACACACTTCCCCACCTTCTGCAAAACACCGTGGGGTGTGGCAGGAGCGGCAGGAAATCTCAGAGAAAGAGGGGTGAGCTGTTGGGACCCCCCTGCTGCGGAAACACTTCAGTAGCTCCTCTAGGCTGGGCCCAGGACACCGGGTATGTTAGAGTTCCTCGCCTTTACCTGGGTGGGGGAGAAGCTCGTCTCTTCCTGTCTTCTCTGGAGAGGGTGGGCAGACAAAGAAAAGAAACACAGTTCTGTGGATCGTCTGTGGACGGACAGGAGCAGCACTGTTAACTGATTGGACCTTCCCACTGTCCAGCCCCACAGAGGGGTTCTCGATGAACCGTGTCCTCACGGGCCTCTCCTCGAGCAGAGGGCAGGTCAGGTGGGCGGGCTGCAACAGAATTCCTGCCGCCATGTCACCCAGAATGTCTCTGCTTTGATCTTTTTTTATATATTAGGATTCTTGGTAAGATGTCCTTTGAGGAAAAAACGGAAAAAAAAAAAAAAAAAAAAGGCTCCCATTCCTAAAGAAAAGAAAACCCGTTTGAAAACTACTGTTCCTAGATGATTTTTGATTAAACACCATAATCCATCTTCTCACGCCCCCACGACACAGACATGGGGCTGAGCTTGGCTTCCCCCTTCTGCCCACTCAGGCCTAGCACTCTGCTCCCCACTTGTGACTAGTTCTTGAGGGCCAGGGTGGCTATGCCCACAGAGGCTCTCTGGTTTGAAAATATCAGGGGGCACCAAGCTGCCCCAAGTCCCCACAGGTCACAAGCATCAGTTTGGAGGTTGGGATGGGAACGTGGTGTGCTTCACCACAGACTGGGTCTCCCTGACCCCCCTTGAACAGGTGACAGCTGTGGAAGAGTCCTGCGTGGGGCTTCCAGTAGGGGGTCTGGGGGGGGCGAATGAGGAGTTGATAAAAGCCACATTTCCTCCACTCGTTCCTGTTCCTGAGTTCTGGAATGGTGTAGCCGCCAAGGAAGTTTCTTTACCTGAGGGCCAGACACTACCTTTGGCCAGCCAAGGCTTCTGATAATTCCTTCCATTTCCGGGGTCAAGCCTGAGACTAAGCACTTTAAGTAGCATTCCTTTCACATGGCCCTTACCTCCGCAGTGTGATCCTTGAGACAGGAAAACCCAATGTAGGAAACTGAACCGGTATTCACCGGTGTGTAATCATAGAGTCTGGGCACCCTGAGATGGCGTACTGAGCTAAATTATAGCAATTTAGCACACAGAGTTATTTAAATTGTTTGCCTGCCTTCTCTTTTGCATCGCTGGTGTGTTAGACTTGCCTCTTTCCATTAGGTGCATGTAATTGCTCTCCTCAGGTGAAAACATAAATATCATCATTACAGCGTGAGACAAAAACCATGTAAATTCTGGGGAGCTCCCTGTAGACACTGCCCAGAGCAGCCTCACGGTCTTTCCCTTTCAGGTGATCCAGGCCCCGGAGCCGGCAGCCCCGACGGAGCAGGTGATCACTTTGGAGGAGACCCAGCTTGCTGGGTCACAGGTGTTTGTGACATTACCAGATTCGCAGACCTCTCAGACCAGCTCTGAGCTTGTGGCAGTGACCGTGGAGGATTTGCTCGATGGCACTGTGACCCTGATCTGTGGCGAGGCCAAGTGAGTGGCCGCTCATCCCATGGAGGGTCCTGCATTTGCAGCAGAGAGAACGTTCTGCGGCCTGCCGTTTGCCCTCCGTCCCTGGCTGTCCCGAGTAGCGAGCATCGTAGCCTGCACCATCCGGAGCGCGCTCACTCTGTTCTCAGAGAACCAGCGGTGTTGGTGTCCTTGGCGCAGACACTGCCGCCCTCCCCAGGGGACAGGCCTATTCCCATAGGCCTACCGCTGTGGCCTCTGTGGTGAGCAGTGGGGTGGGAGTGGTGACCAGGCCATCAGAGAGGTGCCGCGCGCCAGCTGCCTTCGCTGTGCAGAATGGCAGGCAGCCGTGGGCCTACGGTCCACACACTGGGGCTGTCAATGCTGCCGGGGCCTCCTGGCCATTTAGAAATGAGAGAAAAGCACCAACACACCATACAGAGACCGCCGCCCCCCACCCCCGGCCGGAGCACACCGGGCTCCTTCCTCACTCCGTCATCCTCCCATCCGCTTGGGTGGCCGGGCCTCTCCTGGTGGCAGGAGGACAGGAAGCAGCGCATTAACACAGGCCGAGTCCCACCTCTTCAGTACAGTTAGCCCTTCCCCAAACCAAGCCCTGCAGGGTTTCTGCGATACGCTCCGTGTGGGGCCGTCCAGCTGCAGAGACAAGCCCTGCCCTTCCGGGATCTTCTCCGTGGTGGTCTGTACCCGAGGGCTGTCCCTGCAGCCTTCTGTGTTCTCCTCAAAGCCGAGACTGTCGGCCGCTTGCTCTGGAGCCTGGGGCATGGCCCATGAACCGGCACCGGGTGCCGGGTGTCGGGGTGCTCTGGCTCCTCCTCCCGCCACGTTCTGGATGCCTTGGGAGTGGCCTGCTGGCCACCTCTTCCAGGAGGCCGCTGTTACTGCAGGCTGGTGATCCTTCGGAGTCTGAATTTCACAAAGCTTTTTTATCTTCAGTTCCTAAAATATAATCTGATAATTAATGGTTTGTGGAATCCATTATGAAGTGCAATTAGATGGATGTAGGTTCCCGCCGTTCGGAGGGAATGACTAGCATTTATCTTCCTTTCCCCGGTGCCAGAAGGTCGCAGTCTGCTCGTGAGTGGCGTGTTTACACACCAAGCAGGGCTGCCTGCCCCCTCGCGCGGCTTCTCCCTCGGCAGGGGTGGTGCACATTTCATCACTCACCCTCCGACTGGAGGCTGGCAGAGGACAGGCCCGTGCCATCTTTCTGAGCACATTTCACGTCCCCAAGTACAAGCAGGGACCAGGGGTCAGTTTGGGACACAGTCAGGACTTTGCCGGCCTCCGCACACCGCTGGTAGGACCAAAGGCAGAGCCCCGCCATCACCCCGCGTGGCCGCTGCGGCCGTCTGTCCACCTGTGCGCCGGGGCCGAGTTCCAGCTCGGGCCCACACGCCGGGCAGCTCCCTCCTCCCGCCTCCACTTGTGTCCTCATCTTGATCTGCACGTCAACTTGAGCTTGTCAGCTCAGGGATCTTCCCATTCTGGAGCAAATGAAGTTTTCAAAGGGAAGTTCTCAGAAGCTGGAACCTGACCAGAAGATGGTGCTCAAACCTTGAAGACGTGGCCTCCACGCGCAGCCCTCGCTGCTCCTGCCACCGCTGGCTTCTCTTCAGGTGGTGCGGTCCGGGAGAGCTCATGACCGGCAAGGGGCAGAGTGGCACCGGGTCTCCTCCTGGCACCAGAAGAAAGCCTCTGGAAGGGACCAGTGTGGCCCGGCCCTGCAGACTAGGTGAGGCTCCGTGGCGGTGGGCGGGGACTGCGTCCTCAGAATTGCTTGCAGCCGAAAAGCCAATAAAAACTTAATTGCTAAGGGCCCGTAGGGGAAAGTGATTTTTCTTTTTCAAAAGTCTCGTGATAAAAGAAAGCTGTAAGTTTTTAAACCAAGTTTCAGATCCTTTCAAGTCCCGAGAACTCCTTGCTCGGGTGTCCGACGGAGCCCCCGATGTTGGCAGGGCATGCGTTTGCTGCGGAATCGGGGGACTAGCAGCTCCCGAACTGGGTGCACACAGAGAGGTGGCAGCTGCCGCCTGACACGCCTCACCGACCCCGCCGCCCGCCAGGCAGGAGGCACAGACCCTGTGCTGCTTCCAGGGAGGAAGGAGGAAAGGTGCATCCTGAATTTAGCCTTTGCTCCGAGTGGACCTCTGCAGGGCACTGCACTGGTGGCGATTTTATAGTGTCACTCCCGAGAGGTGCCCGAGCGCGGGTTGTATTGTAGAAAGACTTGTTCCAGCTTCACTTGGCCATTTTGTTCTTTTCCTCCCACTGCTGCCCGAGAGGCCTCCGGAATGTCTGCACAGAGGACATTGTCATCGTGCTCCCCTTGGTCCCCCTCACGTGCTTTCTCATGGCAGAGGGGTCTCTGCCTTGTTGCCATGGGTGCATCCTGGTGGCCTCCAGGCTGAATCCTGGGGGTATTTGTGGTTGTGTGGAGGAGGCTGTGGACCTCTTGGAACCCCTGCCCGAATATGTCCATTGGGCCCCTGGACTATCTCTGATTCCAGAGCTTCTGAGGCAGCCGGCAAGGAGGGACAGGCAGGCAGATGCCCAGCTGGAGTCTGATTCTGTGGGAGTAACGGGGATCACTTAGGGAACAGGATTTGCCGTCCCAGGTAAGTGAGGCGACAGGAGATGGAAGAGCAGGGGTGCCAGAAGAGGATGGCGCTGTCCCAAGGACGTGAGCAGCACCTGGCCACAGGGGCAGCAGAGAGGTAGAGGCAAAGGCAAAGCTTTTTATTCGTTTAGGTAAGAAAGCCCGTCTCATCTGTCTCAAAAGCTTTGTGTTTAGAAAACTCGGAGCCCAGTAAGTAGCAAGGACTGTGCTGTGAATGCTGGGTTCCCCCCGGTGATCCTGACCTTCTCTGTGGAAGTGCTCTGACTCCCCTCCCATTGACCACCAGCATCAGCCTCATCCCTCGGGGAGGAGCTCTGCTGGTCGGGTACGGAGGGACAAAATGGGGTCGAGTCTGATAGGTGAATGGGGGGAAGGTCTCCTTCTCTGTTCATGGTTTAAATAAGTCAGGGATACTCTCATAATCAAGAAGAAAGATGAGGTGGCCCCTAAGAGTTTCTCACCCCAGGTGATGTCAGTAACCACGTGCTGATGACACAGCAGGGCTGTGCCTTTAAGTCTCATGGGTCTGAGATCTGGGAATTGCCTAAGGGATGGAAGAAACTGCTGACCTCACATAGAAAGGTTCTAGGGGATAAGGAGTTGTTTGTATTAAATTGGGGCTAGAAAGCGGCGGTGATGGAGAAGTGGCTAGGACGCTTTAATTATTACTCCCAAAGAAAGAATAGCAGCCTCAGCGTTCCCCACTTGGTGCACTGTTTCCCAGGGACCCTTGGGAGGTAGGGAAAAAACAGGAGTAACAGTAAGATTTGGGGTTGGAGAGGGTATCAGAGGCAAGCTGATGATTGTTTTGCTGCCATGGAAAACCTTGGGGCTGGTAGGACCTGGGCCAGAAGCTCAAAGCACAGCCAGAGCTCAGAAACTTCCTCCGTGTACAGCTGTGCCTATAAGGACGAGAGAAGCTGCCTGTGCTCTGGGATCACGCTGTTGAGAAAAATTATCCCCTGGGCTCATTCACATTGTGTCCAAATCATGGAAATGTTCATCAGTCGTTTCTTTATCCAAGGCCAGCCACACCTCCCACCACAGGACAGCCAGCCAGGACTTGATGCTGTGTAATTTAGATATAAACCATTATTTTCATTTAACTTGCACTATTCTATATAAATAAAATATGTACTTTGGAAAAACTTGCGCTGCGTGAGTTTCAAACGGACTATAATGAGACCTGTTTCCTCTCCAGTTCTGGCCAGCTGTCGCGTGGGCCCAGGCTTGACAGGGAGTTCTAGGGGCTCTTGTGCCTTCGGGCCTTGCCCGCATGGTGGGGGGAGGGGAGACTGTCCCATCAGGTGGAGGCTGTTCCCCGGAGCCCTCTTTGCCGGAGATGGAGCTTGGTGCGGGGTCTCAGAGGCGGGTGTGCACGTGCAGCCAGGGTACCTCCGCACTGTGCCACTTGCTCACTGCGTGACCTCGGGGGCGACACCCTCTCAGCCCTCTCCGCGCAGCTCCCATCTGTAAGGGGGGCAGTGGCACACAGAACCGTACGGGGAATTCCGAGGCTGGCTTTAAAGAACTTAGTGTTGAGACTAACTGTTAGCTAAGTCTTGCCTGGATTGCCAGCGCTGAGTGGTGTCCATTCCCGCACCTTCGGGTTTCTCTCCTCCTTTCCTCCCCCCTTGCTCCCCCTCCCTCGCTGCCCCTCCCCCCTCCCTCTCTCTCAATCCTCGGGAGACCTTACAACACCCACCACTTTTCATTTATCTCTTGAATCTCAACTGCCCCAAAGCACAAAGTGCTGAGCAGATGAGTATAAAATAAGCAGAAACCTTCTGTGGAAAATAGCTGGAAATGTCACGTTGCTGGCGGCCCACGAGGACACAAGCAGTGCTCGGACAGGATGTGCAGCATTTCTGCAGGAAGAAGCCGCATGAAAGGCAAGGGGAGGCACGCCCCATCTTTTCCATCTGTCCTGTCCTGCCTGCTAGTCCTCTAAGGTCAGGTCAGCCCAGAAGCCGGGGAAAGCCGGGTGAGGTGGGCTCTGTGCTCGTGTCTCCTGGGACAGTCCGGGAGTGGCACGAGCGGATCCTTGTCCAGAACCCACAGGACCTTTTTGAAGGAGTACCCCTGCCTACCCAGTGCCTGCAGATAGGCTAGAGCTCTCCGTTGTATCGGGAGCAATAATCCTTACAGCGTCCTAGGCAGCCCTGGATAATTGTAACACACTGCGGGGCTCCAGCCATGAAGGTGAAAGTGTGAAGAGGTAGGAAATGGGCCGAGTGATCCCTTGGCAGTCCCATTATCTTAGCGCTGGGCCTGGGAGGCTGCTGTAGGAGGCTAGATGGCACGGCGGGAAGGGCATGGACTAACTGGATGGATGACCTTGGGCAAAGCCTTCCCGAACTCCTAATGGCATGTAGACGCTTTGGAAATGATGTCTGTTACAATGTCCAGTACTTCTAAAGACCCTGGGGGAGGAGGGCAGAGAAGGGCAAGATGGAGTAGGCCCAGCACATCCTTAAGATGGAGGGCATGGAACAGAGTGCCGGGTGCCCGAGACCAAGGTAAGCCTCACCTCTCTGAGCCGTACTGTATAATCCCAGGGCCTCTGTCCCAGACCCAAGTGAACAGGGACAAAAGGGGGACCGGACGTCCTGACTTGGATCAGCACAGCCAAAGGGTCTTGTCTGAGTACAGGGCCAGCCTCTGAATGTCAGGTCGGGGCACAGGCAGTGAGACCCAAGGAGTGGAATCGCGGCGTGCAGAATGGTGTCTGGCCTTCCCACCCTGCCTCTGGAGCACGGTCTTCAGTGTCCGTCTTATGTTCCCTGTATGCTCAGGGATGTGTCTGGGTGAAAAGAGAAACGTAGCTTCTGGCTGCCTTCACGGAAACTTATCCTAGACCAAGGGGCCGCACGCTTCATTGGTAAATAGCCCAGTACTCAGGGCTTCACTAGAAGGAGGGGTTTAGGTTCATTGCTTCTTGGGAACGTCCTTGAGGCTTTATTCTTGTGCAACTGTTCCGTCTTCTGCCCTGTCACCCGGTGCTACCAGAGCATAGGTCCGATGACCGTCAAGACCCTCATACCTGCTCCGCGAGCTCAGCGCACTGGGCAGCGCGCTCGTGCTTAGTAGACGCTGACACTGCTCATCTCACTTGTCTTACTGTCCTCCAGGGAGAAACAAATATCCCCATCTCACCCCGCTAGCAAGGCTGTTCCCCAGGCTACCTGGGGGCTGGTCTAGCAGAACATCCCCCTTCCTGTGTCCTCCTAGGAGAGATTAGCAGAAGGTGAAGAGCAGCTAGCTCGGCCCAGAGCTCCCCAGCTGCCCTGATCAAACACCACCCTGCTGGCTTTTCTTGCACCGGTTCCCCCAGCGCAGGCCAGAAACAGCTGATCAAACACATCAGGACAAGGTCAGTCCAGGGACCCACCGTCCCCTCCAGGAGAGATCTCCTAGACCTGCCATCAGGAGGGTCCAGTAAAAATGGGCAGGGGGTGGGGAAGGGGGCCCACGGGGCTGGCACAGGACCAAATGGCTTTTCATTCGTTTTAAGGTTGAAACCTCTGTGGTCTGCACGGGGTCCAGAGCAAAACCAGCACGCACAGGGAGGCCAGGCCTAGCACGCCTGTGAGCCCGGGGACCCGGGGTAAAGCGAGGAACGGAGTAGCCTGCACACACGCAGGACAGGGTGAGGGATGTCAGGCAGGAGCCAGTGTCGTTTCAGGAGCATGGGATTACCAGATTGTCACAGGGTGACTTAAAATCCTCCCTCACGAAACCGTCACCCCTTCAAGGGCAAGGGCTGTGTGTCCTCCTTTCCGTTAACACACAGTGAGCCAGGCACGTCAGGTTCTGCTTGCCCAGGTCTGTTCTCCCTGAAAGTTCTGGAGTCTCGGCGCTCCTGCTATGGGCCCCGTCCTGTGCCAGGTGCTGTAGACGTTGGGTTGTGCGGGGCTGAAACAGCGTGTGGTTCCTGCTCCCGGGGACTGATCACCTTGTTGGCCAGACAGAGATTATTTATGAGAAGAAAGAACCGAAAACATCCATGCAGGTCCAGACCAAGACCTAAATGCTATTTCTCTCTCTCTCTCTCTCTCTCTCT